GAGAGAGAGAGAGAGAGAGAGAGAGAGAGAGAGAGAGAGAGAGAGAGATCACGTAGCAGTGAAAGATTAATGACGCTGATGCCGGTTGCTGATTAACGTAGATCCTGTCAAAGCACCTCGCGATTCGTTAATCTCTCGATTAGAGTCGCAACGGGTCTGCCAAACCTGTTGCACCCCTTTCAGCACGCGATTATTCTGCATAATGCAACCGTCTTCCTGAAGCGCCGGTTGTTCCTATTACAATCGTGTTAGACAGAAACTAATCACTTCACTTCGTCACAATCGAATTCTCTTGACGTTTACGCATGTGGGTCGAATGGTTGGCGGTTTCGTGATCGAAATTTTTATCTGTTTTTCTGCCGGACGATGCCACGTATTATTTTATTATAGATTTCTCTAGCGATGAATATCGAGAAAAGATTGTAGAGACATGGCGATACAGGTTATATCAGGAAATTGGGACTGAAAATGAACGTTTAGCGAGTAAATGAAAGAATCCGTGTTGTAGGAATTTTTAGCGAAGAAACGAGCCCTGTCTCTTACGTTAGTGGCATTTCGGAAAATATGTTCCGCGAAGCAGTTTTAATCTTTATCAAGCAATTCCTTCTCTAACCCGATGCAAAAAACTTTTGGAAATACTAATCAAATACTAATGTTCCAAATACTAACGTTTACGCGATAAGTCGACTTGGGCACGATAGCGCACAAAGCATTCGATATTCAGGAAGCAAAGGGGTTTACCAAGTGAAGCATAATCATTGTTTGTTGCAATAGCAGATATCGGTGTTATCGTTATCGGAGAATTTGGAACGATTAATAGAGGCTGCAATGTAGCGTGAAATTTGGGTCGTGTATTCAGATCCTTCGATTTAGTAGCCCGGGTATAGGTACTTCAGTTATGACGACAATTAGCAATTTAATTATATACTCACTTCTGTGCCCTTTGTCCATGACTGGATCCCTTCTCAGTTTCACTCTTCTCTTTGCATTCACCCGAGGAGCTGAAAGAAGAGAAATACACCGCGACTTTAAAATCCAACCTTCAATAACTGTATCTAACTGCGAGCTCTTCTCTTTCTATGAATAAATAACAGTCAGGAGAAAGGAGATCACGAAAATGAAATGAAGATAAATGCAGAAGCACGCAAATGAATGTAACATGAATGCATAGAAGGGACGCATACAAAAGCGATATTAATTCGAAACGAATCGATATGTAAAACAGACGTAATTTAAAGATTTCATTGAAGAATGAGAGAGATATTCGCGAGGAGCGAAGGAGCACAGCAGGGAACAGGAGCACAGAAGGAGCAAGGGAGATTTCATTTTCTAGAGTATCCAGGAAAAATCTAAGACAAAAAATTCAGGATAAATTCAGGATAACAAAAGGATCGAAATCGGTAAATCGAAGCATATCGACGGGCAGACGTGCGTGATAGCTGGACGTACGAGCAGTCTTTGTAAAACAAAACGATTTTTCTTTCACGAGCAAAGAGCACGCGGCCGGTGAAAATCATGACTTGCGTGGGTGGCTGCGTTGGCTGCACGTTGCTTTTCAAAAATAACGAATTCGCGCTCGTGTTGCGAAAAGAAACGGAAATCCCTCTCAGCGCTGTCAGTTATCGTTTCGCGATTGCCGATCGCACGCGTGATATCTATTCGTCGTTTTCGCGCGCACGCCAACCGGCTAAAAAGGGCGCCTACGCGGCGAAAACGAGCTTAACCGGCGCTGTCGTTCATCGTTGCATTTTTTTGCGCTGCCCAGCGCGGACTTCAGCTTAATACACACGCGCAACGACGATGAAAGAGCCGCGATGAAGAGAGGACATCGGGGCGCGGCTCCCTTTTTAAATATAATGCGTCCCGGCGAGATTTCTGCTCGATGTAGCGTAAAGGCGATTTCGGCGTTAACCCCGATTGCATCCCTCCTGCGATCGATAGGGGACGTACCGCGGCGACGTACCGCCTCGCAAAATCGACCCGACGATGATCCGCGATAAATTTGCGATGGGATGGAAACGCCCGTCCGGAGCGACCGAGTGAAAGTAGTAAATTTTTTTAACGCGCGGCTGTATTTTTCACGAGAGACAGGCGGATGGTATACCCGTTTGCGTTCACGATAAAATGACCTCGATAATCCGGTTGTTTTTGCATTTCGGGAAAATCAATTTCTACGCTCTTGTTTCGGAGATTTGGTGTACATTATCATGATTGCGTGTTTTCCTCTTGGATATAATGTCTATAGTAAAAAAAATATGCATATAACCAAAAATATTTAATTGTGAGCGGCATAGTTACATCATCCTAGTTATTTTTGTGTTGTGGCAGTATGTATGGTCGATATGGCTCGATTATTTTGGTACATTAACTATATCAATATATGTAGTTGCGCCTGATCTGGTTGTGGCAACCAGACATCCGTTGAGGAGACATTTACTATGTATACACTTTGGTTGGAGCAAACAGACATATTGTCACTGTTGTAACGCCAGTAACTCAGCAATTGCTCTGTGGTTATAGCGACCACATAATTACACTGCAAGAAAGGATATCTGAGAAATAGCAAATATATTTATTCGGTGGATACTAACAACATATTTATTAGTATCAAGTATTTCTTTAAATAAGAAGGTACACATTTTCTCAAAATCTTAAGAAAATCTTAGCTTTTCATGAAAGCAATTTCAATATATTTCATTTTATTTCAATATAAAATAATTTAGATTTAAATATATTATTAATATCCACCAGATAAATATTTGCTATTTTTTAGATATTTTTTTTTCTTTCAGTGTAGTTGTCTCATATTTTACTATTAAATCTGATTGGTACAACCAGATTTATGTGTGGGCCAACTATATTATTTTTCCGTGTACAGACCACATTACGTTTAAGTAAAAAAATGACAGTCGTTTACGGGAAACACAGTTGCGCAACGTGACGAGAGATATTTTTAACCGTGTATGCACTTGAAGAGAGATAAAGAGAGAGAATACAGAGTTGACTTAACTTCTGAGTGAAAAACATCACAGAGTCAGAATGCTGTGTGAACTTCGTTAGTAGTTTGGTTGCGACGAACTTGAATGTCGCACGATTACTTAGCGCAAAAGCACTTGATTATCTTTCCACGATGTTCCTCACTTTTCCACGCCGGTCATCACGGCGCGTTTGTCGGCGCGCAAATGAATCTCCTCATTTTAAGTAAATCGAATGCGTGACGAACGCAGCGTGTTTCCAGATGAGAACTTGGTTGCAACGCATCGACAATAGCTCGTCGTTTATATAACATACAATTAACAATATAATATCTGTAAATCAGTATCTATCTTGATAGCATTTTCTTTTTGGCAAATTTTTTAATTTAAATTGCGACGTGAAGTCAAGCCAAGTCAACGTCAAAGGTGCCCAGAATTGCTTCGAGAAGCAACTCGACACGTGATTTGTATCTTAAATCGTGGGACGCGTTATTTTGTTCGTCGTTAGAGAAAGAAAGAAGGACACTTTCGCGCATGACAGCATGTATTTCCCGGTCTTGCGATTTCATCGTGCGCGCACATTCGTGTAAATTTGCTTTAATTCCGAATACCGCGTAAACCGTATCTCTCTGCCAAAGGCGTAAATCAATTATGTGACTCACTAACGGTTTCAGCAAACGTCTATTTCCCCTTCTCCTCTTCTCCCTCTCCTTCCTCTTCCGCTCTCTGTGTAAACTGTGACGTTACTCGTCGCAACGACAAACTTGCACGTCGTAAAATTACATGCAATCACTTTAGCACGAAAAGCGCGCGTTATCTTTGCAACTTGCCCTTTCTTCCTCCTTTCTTCTGCTTGCCTGTCTCTCTCTTTCTCTCTCTCTCTCTGTCCTCCTTCCATATCGTACTCTATCTTCTTTCCTCTTGTCTTTCTCGTTCTCTCACGTGCAGCTTGTTGCATCGCGGTTTACCCGCGAGATAGACGACGCAGTATAATCCGCCTTTCGATCGACACGCCGTTAATGAACACATGAACAGATCGCGATTCACACGTAGAGCCAGCGTGGCGTGTAAGGTCGCGATAACAGTCGCGGCTGCAATCGATATAGCGCGCCCAGGCGCGGGAGAGTCTCGCCAAAGTGAGAAAAATGAAACGGCCCGTTTTTGCCGCTGTATAACTCGTTGACCCGTGAGGAAGAAAATACGGCGTCGAGCGGTCACCTCGTAATAAAATCTGCGACTCGTACACACGATGGAAGCGGCAGACTTCGAGAATTTCCGCGACCATCGATTGTCAATTTCTTCCTACTAAAGTTATGAAACGAATAGTATGGAGTGGTCACTTCGAGATCACTGACGTTTTTGTTGTTGATGTTCCCGACTAATGATTAGAAAATGCGACGGAAACATGGCGGGTGTTTGCATGTGAACGGATTTTTCCTTCATTCTCGCGTGAGACTTCAGAATTATTGCGAACTGTTTCAGCGTTTCCACGATATATAAATGATGCAGATTATAGCTGTTAATTGCACAAATTTTAAACAGTCTTGAGGAACCGCTCTCATTCATGTTTTATGAAAAATAAATTAGTTTAACTGGTTTACGCGAGTACTTGCGTGATATGTTAGCGAAGGGATTTTAGTTTTAATTAAATGTGATAGTGAAGCAGGTGCTTCTATCGAGAGACTGAAAATCAGGTCAGCTGCGATAAAAAGAAAGTACTGCACCGTGACCGGACTAGTTAATGTCTCGGCTAATGGCGATAAAATAATTTCACTAACGACATATGACGAAGATAGTCTCTGCGCGTGTTTCATGCTCATACATCGTATAAACGTCAATATTAAAAAACTCCGCTAAGCGCCCATTAACAAGCGATAAAGTGAGGGTTACAATTATCATCAATAATGAAACGTTTTTGACCTTTTTTTGTCAAGTTTTTTCTCGGAAACCATACAGTCAAATCTTCTTTGAGATGTCTCGCGATTATTCATCGGATCATATTTTCACGTTTGAGATAGCGTAGTTTGCCTGTGCTTTCCGTCATTAGTCTCCGTTCGTAACAATTGCGGCAAACGAGATAATCGGCTGAACGCGTTTAAATAAATACTTCTTCTTTTCTACAGCATTATAAGCTCGGGTAGACGCGCGTAAGCGCGTTTTAACCGAGACGCTTGTGTCTCGGTAATCCGCGTAAGAAAACTATCGTGTCGCGGCAGCTGTGGTATGACGTAGTATGATTCCACTGGATAATGAAATTTTTCATTCGCGGTAGAAACAAGTCTCGATCCAAACGAAATCTCGTGCTTTGCTGGCGCTTCCTCGTGCGATGGTACATTTTTAGGGAAAGAAAAAAATGGCCAGCTCGCGGAGCTGTGTAGAACGTAACTTTAAGGCACTTTTGAGAATATCTTTTATCGCAATACGTATACTTTTTGGTAATGTGTTTATACGACAAAGCCATTCGTTCTCCTCCCCGCGCGAACGTCTAACTCTACATGACGCGAGATATTTATCGACAGTCATAAATCGCATGAGGGAGACGTCACGGTGTATTTAGAGATTTCGCGGAGATTTCATGGAGAGACGAGAAATTCGCGCGTTAAAACATATTCGCGTGATTTCACAGACACACGAGAAATACGAGACGCGTTGCCGTGAGTACATATTATGTTCGCAAAAATGATCAGCTTGTTCATTTATAACGGCGGCGAGCTTTCCGATACAGTGAAGTCAAATGAGATTCCATGTTTTACAAAAGACTACAACTTCGAAATTTGAATCGATTTCGATGCTTTGTTTTTTTTTGATGAAAACTAGTGAAACTTAGACATTAACTTTAGAATTACTGTCAAATCTGAATTTTGTCTTTTACTTTTTTTCTTTTAAACGAGACATAAGGAAGTTAGTTACTTCAAAAATAATAATTAATAAAAAGATAACATGATAGTAATAATTTAGTCATATTTAATTCAGCAGTTTTTATTTTAATTAAAATTAAATATTTTAATTATTTTCGTTTATTAAATAAACTAAGATTTAGTGAAACTCCTATATCAGTCTGTATGATTTTTTTTCGAGTCTACAATCAAAGTCTGAATATTTTATTTCAATATTTGTGCCTGATGTTAAATTAAATAAGATATGAAATGAGTTATCTATTGTTTGATTGAAAAAAACTTTTAAATCTAACTTTTTTGTTTGATTCAGACAAAGGGAGAAAAGGGAAGCAAAAGACAAAAATCCGGCTCGACAAAGTTGAGTCCTAAATTTTATCAGCTTTAATTCAAGAAAAAAAAACGCATTGAATTCGATTCAAATCTTGAAGCTGTAGCCTTTTGTGAAACATGAAATTTCATTTGACTCCACTGTGCAGCGACGGCGGTGATGGTGGACGTATCATCGATCCTTACTACTGCGTATTATAACGCCACTCCTCCGCGGAAAAGTGATTCTGTTAAAAGCAGCTCGCGAGCGGCGCCTGTGTATGTATGTGTGTGTGTGTGTGTGCAAATTGAAAACAATGCTTGTTCGTGTTTGAGACGGACATTATAGTCCGATTAATCCAAACGCCGCGATATCCTAGGCAAACTTGACCGCTTCCGTTTTTCCGGGAGTCGGATTAATCGCCATTCGCGCGCAAGACACTTTGGATCTCCTGATGGACGGATTTACGGCAAGCCCCGAACGCAATTAAATTCCCGACTCCTAATTGAGAGGATTTCACTATTAGCGGGACAAAACTCCTCGAGGTTAACCGAGGCGGTTAACCGAAGGGAATTGAATTATACTGCGATCGAACCCGCGCGTCTTGCCGCTTTCTTTTCGGTAACGCCAAACAATTCGCATATTCGCTGCGAAATCAAGAAATGAATTTCCCGTTAAGCTCTGTAATATTATGAAATGTTAAAGAATTGCTTCTCAAACGATCGAGAACGTTTACAATGGTGTCTCACTACACACAAACGTTTGATAATTCGCGTATTCTTTTCTTCATGTTCCTATTCTGGTCGAGTTTCACTTTATTATTCAACTAGCTCTAAATTACGACGACTTTATATAGACAACATTACGACTGTTTCCATTGCAAAAGAAATTTCCTTCATGGACGTAGAACGATAACAAATGAGTAAAAAAGGGGAGAGGAAGGCCGGAGTAATAACCGGAGGTAGGAATTAAGGCACACGCGAGACCTTTGTAAATGTTTCAATAAGAGAACTCACCAACATCACTGTCAACGTCATGAATGACGATCTTGATACCCTCGCCATCGACCAGACTGCCCTGCCTAGGTAATTCGCGTTCCTCAGCCGCCACCCTGCTAACTACCGTCGGTGGAGCGCCTTTTGCCGCTCCTGGTGCTGATGTCAACGCCCTTATCGCGTTTATATCTGGTCTGAAATGACAAGTGAAAAATCCATAACATCTTGGAGAGCGAAGGAAAGGGTTCCCGTAAACTCCACTCGCGCTCTGAGCAAAGATCTTAGCGATATTAGATTGATTCGCGCGCGAAGTTTAGCAAAAAACAGGATGACTTAAACATTACTAAAATCAAAGGGAGACGTTAGAGATAACGAAAGCTCGTCGCGAATAATTAGCCGCAACAAGTAAACAATGGGCGTTAGTTTGTCGACGCCTGAGGACCACTTTGGATCGTTAAAGATATCCCCCAATGAGAGCGCGCGCGTAAGCCGATTTAAGGGACTCATTATAATCATTATGTGGATCAGGCGGACCCGCATCATCGCGGATTAATCCGCAAAATTTCAATCGACCACATCGAGGCAAATTCCACTCTGTGCCGCGAAACTATGCCGGCGCAATAAACAAATTTCATTATGCCATCGCTCAGAGCAAGGGATGAAAAAAATCTGTTTCAACCAATATCGATTTTCCAGTGTCTTGTTTACAAAATTATGATATAAATCGCCGTGAAATATCGTTTTATTCGGTCGAGTATTCGGTCAACCTTGTTGACCCGAGATGAACTCTTAATAACCATAATTTATATTTAACGATGTCAAATATACGATGCCGTTATTATTTATTACATTATCTCTCACATGAAGTGGTATCATTTGAAGATCTCTTTCACACTAAATATATCTGTTTGACATTTTGTATTAATTGGAAATAATAGCGAGAGAGAGAGAGAGAGAGAGAGAGAGAGAAAGAGAGAAAGAAGGAGGAATGAAGAACTAGTGGAAGCGTAAAAATATTCCAAATGATAACACACGTAGAATTTAAAATTTTATCGCAGCAACTTGGCTGTGTATTATTTTATACTATTTAAACATCGCAGATGGAGCGGAACTATTTCAGTATTGATTATCGTCGGCGTTGCTCAAATTGCGAGTATAAGTATCTATGGGTAGAAATTAGATGATCAGTTCTTAATTCATTCCGCTATTTGCCGCGTGTCCTTACTTTTCAATACAAAACAGGTAATTAGCTCTCTCTCTCTCTCTCTCTCTCTCTCTCTCTCTCTTAAATGAAATTTTCTTTACAATGAGAAAAAACGAGCGAGGAGGACGCGGGAAATACGGTCTCGCCACGGGCGTTTTCCGCCAAACGAAAAACGAGTTTCTCCCCGGCAGGGCGACTTTTAAACGCGACCGCAATTGCGTTAAACTTTTCGCCGCGCACGGATGAGCATCGTCGGGCGGGCAATACAATCTTCGTTCGTTCGCCCGCCCGCGATGACACACCACAGGCACAAATTACCGCCCTAATTCCACGCCATAAAGGCTAAGGAAACTCACGTGCGAGGTCCATAAAGTAGCTGCGCGACCGCTGTAACTAGCGTCTCCTGCTCGCGCAAAAACAATGGGTGACTTCGCGCCGGAAATATTTAGCGCTAAACGTGACCGTTTGAATCTCGACCCCGAGATAACATGCAACGTGATCTTTATACCAGGCATAAAAGTCGGTATTAGACGGCCGCATCTGACGGAAACGCTCTCCTCGGAAAAGGTCATGCTTTTTTACTGCTCCTCTTTCAGCTGTCCGGGAACAGCAATAATTTGTTCCGTGCGGAAAATAGAGTGTGAGTGGAGGGAAAAAAATTGCGGGAAAAATTCTCGAATCTTTTACTCGCGTGCAAATTTACTTTCCGGATTCGTTGCGTTAAATATTTCTACATATGATAATTGCTCGAATAACATGGCGCAACGTGCATTAAGTCGCGCTTTAACGTCACCGGAGCTTTTTCTCGAGGATATATTTCTTCCGTTTCTCCGAGGGATTTTGTTTCGCGGAGACACGAACTTTCCTAAGAGAAGGATTCACTTAGCGTTAAACGCGCATGCTGGCATGAATACGGTGCTCGCTGTCTAAACACGAGGATAGAAACAGCACTGCAACATCGAGTAACTCGGTGAATGTACGAGCCTCTCGGCTTGTGCCGTATCGAAAGTTGTCGGCATAATCGTGGGAAGTTCTCCTGGCAGTAGAGGAACTCGAACAATGTTACGACGAGAGCGGCCGTAGCTCGTCGACGACGAAGAATGTCTCTCAATTTTCGCGATTAACACTTTAGCTAAAAAACGGAGAATAAACACAAAGTGCACAAAAATAATAAGCTCGTGGTTGGACTTAGAGAAAGAAGAGAGTCCAAAGAGCCTAGAAAGGGAGAAATAGAGAGGGGAGAGGAAGAAAGAGGAGAGAGAGAGAGAGAGAGAGAGAGAGAGAGAGAGAG